TGGCTGGCCCCGCCCCCATCTATTCTCTGCCTCCCGAGTCCCAGATGATCTGGAGGGAATGGGAATTTTGCAGTATCCTTCCCTTGCCACGCCCACCAGGCCACAGAACCGGTAGTACAATTTTTTGAATCCCGTCACTGAATTATGTCAAAAAATCTGAAACTGGAAAAATTTCTTGTACCGTCCCATTAGATCATAAGATCTCAGTTAGGTTCACCTTGCATTGTTTTTATTGGACGTGGGGAGACAATTAAGTTACAGGACTTCCAAACAGCAGCAAATTGTGCCTGGCTTTGACAAGGTGCACCATTCATGGAAACAATGCCGTTTCTCCACCCCTTCACTGAGAGTCCCTGAAGAGGCTACTGACTTGACATAAAGCAAGGGAGATGTAGTTTGGTGCAGTGGTTAAAGGCTAGAAACCAGGAAATGGTGAATTCTAGTCCCACCTTAGCCACCGAGCTAATGGGTGACTTTAGGCCAGTCCATCTCTCAGTCCAAAGCACTTCACAAACTTATTTGGGAAATAGGAAGTAAGAGCACTAGTTGTATTCGCTGGCTTGATTTCAACAAAGATATAAAGGTGAGGGGGTGGGGAAATATGACCAAGGCAGTTTGTTGCGTCTTTAGAAACGGGCCGTTCTGGAGCCCACCAGCTTTGAAGGGAAGTCATTGAAGAAAAGCTTTCTAGGGAAGCTTGCAGCACTTTCTGGAGAAAGAAGAGGGCAGGAGAGATTCATCTCAAGGTTGTCCCTTGGACGGGACAGAACAGTGGGAAAACAGTGGGAGTTGCAGATGCTGGAGAAGATTGTGCAGTGGGGAAAAACTCTCCAGAACTCCGTGACTTCACATTGTGCAAGAACCTCACGCCGGGGCATCCAGGGCCAATTCTCTTTTGGATGCTAGTTGAGGACAAAAGATTAAGAAGTGTTTCTTACAGTGCCATAATCCAAGACGGAGCTCCAGGAATTCCAGCCATTGTTGTGGTCTATGTTCACAATCTTCCTTTTGTGATCAATGTTCACAGTTTGATGTGAAGCCCCTCCAACATTTCCCTGGTTGTTTACAATGATGTTCTTGGGGAAGAAAGATAAAGGACAATGGTTGAAAATCTATTCTTATATTCATGAAAAATAAAGTATAAGATGGGAGGTGCTCCAATTGATAACAGAAAGAGATATGGCTACAAATCTGCTAAAAAAAATTCAGATTTTGGAAAAATATTGCTTAGCGCCATTTCCAATTGGGTGAATTAATTCACAGATTTGTGGAAAAGCACATCTTTGAAAGCATTTTTTTTACTTTTTTAATCCTGCTTTCCAGCTTAGAAACATTCAAAGGGGGTTTGCCAAGTGGGGCAACAGTGAGAAAAACACAAACACCAGCCCTTTCAAACAGAACTTCGAATGTCTCACTGCAATGATTAAATGGATACACCAGATCATTTTATCTTTTAACTTCATAAAAGGCAAAAACAAAAGTAAACATTGAATTGCTTTTGTTAGAAAGAAAACACATTTGTTTGCAAATAATGCTGTACAATCGTACTTACATTGTTGGACAAAACTGGGGTTAGGAAAACTCCTAGAAACACCACACTCAGAATCTGGAATGGGGGTCAAAAAGAGATTGGCAATTAGAGAGAGGGGGGATGATAATTAGATGATGGAGGATAGAAGAGAGAGAGAGAGAGAGAGAGAGAGATCATCATCAGCAAATTTCAAATTTAAAAAAATCATGTTGTTAGTTCTATTTGCACCCTGACTTAATGGTCATGTAAAATTGCTGTGCCAAATCTCTCTACAAATATTAAACATTGCCGGCTTGGAGTTCAAGGACATATATAGATATGCCTGCTTTATTACCTAAGCAGCATTAGAGATTCTGCTAGCATTTTCAAACACCAAAAGATGAATGGCTATGTTTTCCTGCAATCAGATTCACCAGCA